CTACCATTACTAAGCAGTTCCAGATGATGATATACATGGATCCCACTTTAACCTACCATTACTAAGCAGTTCCAGATGATGATATACATGGATCCCACTTTAACCTGCCATTGATATATGGTTAATCAACTATAAAATTCACTCTTCTCAATAGTAACTTAGGTTTAAAATCATTACAATTGTCACTTCTTTAAAGCATATTGTAGTTGAACACTTACACATCAGGGACTAGAAATTCAATATATCAGAGGTTAAAGACAGCCATAACAAGAACACATTATGGTATACAATAATAGTTGAAGGGGTGAATGGTACTAATACAATAACAGTTGAAGGATATATGGTAGTAATATAACAATAGTTGAAAGATAAATGGTACTAATACAATAAGAGTTAAAGGATATATGGTACTAATACAATAAGAGTTAAAGGATATATAGTACTAATACAATAAGAGTTGAAGGATATATGGTACTAATACAATAACAGTTGAAGGGGTGAATGGTACTAAATTCTAACTTAGCTGTGTTTTTAAGATATACAAGTTCCACATACTGATGACCAACCTTATTTTAATGTTAAAAATTAGGCACTGATACTTTCTGTTAACATCTACTAATTACTACTACTGCACCAAGGTTTTTACAATTTCAACTAGAAATCTACAATAAGAAGCTTACTTTTGTTTGTTTGATAGATTTTCTAGTCTGTCAGTTCCAAACAAAATCTTCGTTCTTTCCATGTAATCCATGTGGGTTTTGAACAACTGGAAAACCAAAATTAGGTTATTAAAAAGTCATTCTTTTCACACTATAAATTTACAAAAACTAAAAATTCCTTCTGAACCTATAAAAAAACACAGCACATTGTTTTCAATATGGAAAAACTACACATCATTTTCAACATGGAAAAACACTGCATACTGTTTTCAACATGGAAAAACACTGCATATTGTTTTCAACATGGAAAAACACTGCACATCGTTTTCAACATGGAAAAACACTACACATCATTTTCAACATGGAAAAACACTGCATGTTGTTTTCAACATGGAAAAACACTGCACATTGTTTTCAACATGGAAAAATACTGCACATCGTTTTCAACATGGAAAAACACTGCACATTATTTTCAACATGGAAAAATTACACAGTTGAACAGCTATGACAAAACCTTTCTTGTACACCTTCTGTTTACTCTCCTTGTTTTGTTTAATTGCTGCTAATTTCTGTGCCAATCAAATCTATTATGTAAACTCAAATATAGTGTTAAAATCTGTTTAAATAAAACAATAGAATTCATGAATTCAATTAACCACAGTGAGAGAACAACTTTAATAGAAATAGGTCCAGGATGACAATATGAAGAAAACCAAAAAAACCCTAAAGACAGACAGTTAGCATAAGAAAGTATGTGATTCAAAAATTGTATTATACTTTAATAATGTAAACAACAGTTAGCTGTGTTACTGTTGATGACATAAAACACACAATGTATTATACTTTAATAATCTGTTGTTTACTTAGCTGTGTTACTGTTGATGACATAAAACACACAATGTATTATACTTTAATAATCTGTTGTTTACATAGCCGTGTTACTGTTGATGACATAGGTCACACTATGTATTATACTTTAATAATGAGTTGTTTTTGGATGTCATGTCACCACCAATGTTTGGTTAGTTTTGGCTGTCATGTAACCACCAATGTTTGGTTAGTGTTGGATGTCATGGCACCATCATTGTTTGATTAGTTTTGGCTCTCGTGTCACCACCAATGTTTGGTTAGTTTTGGATATCAGTGTCACCACCAATGTTTGGTTAGTATTGGATATCATGACACCATCATTTTTTTGGTTATTGTTGGCTGTCATGTCACCACCAATGTTTGGTTAGTGTTGGATATCATGTCACCATCATTTTTTGGTTATTGTTGGCTGTCATGTCACCACCAATGTTTGGTTAGTGTTGGATATCAGTATCACCACCAATGTTTGGTTAGTGTTGGATATCATGTCACCACCAATGTTTGGTTAGTGTTGGTTAAAATAGCATTTTATTTGCTAGAACTTTAACTTCTTTCCTGACCTTAAGTTCCTTTCTTTATCTAGTTACATTTCTGACAGTTTTCATATAACAGAAAGGAAAATTTTTTCATATTTTTTTTGAACCAACAAATCAGGAAATTTCCTTCAGTTCAAGGGTTGCAGATCTGAATCGTGAAGTGTTTAAGTTGTACGTTATCAGCCATATCCTCTTACTTTCAATTTGGTAGTCCATTTCTTTCTTCTAGATGTTTTAATAGACTACTTTGTTCTTTATACAAAGTCATTTCCCCCAAAGTATTGATTTCAAATCTTTAAATATTCTGAAGTGTATTGTTGTTTGTTTGGTTCCAGACAATAAAGTGTGATTCACATTAATTATATCATACGTTGTTTGCTGGTTATTCCATATCCATAGACTCTACAAATCATCAAACAAGGGGACACCAAACAACTTAATTTCAGCTTTCTCTAGGAAAATTAACTTACATTCAACACTCAGATAAATCTTAACCTCTATTTTTATTATGCAACAATAAAATGTTGAAAAATTAAGGAAATTACCCAAAAATCCTATTGAAATGGCAGATTCATACGTTAATAACTTACAAATCAACAACTTTTGAATCTCAGTTACTACACTGGATTTAACTTGTAGTTAAAGAAAAAGCAGTCATGAATCTACAGATACTGTTACTTCAGTAAAAAGTTATTACATAAGATTTGACTTTGTAGTTATAATACACTTAGCAGGAATGAATCTAAAGCTTTTCTTACCTCAGTAAAATATTACTACATAAGATTTTACTTTGTACTTATAAGACACTTAGCAGGAATGAATCTAAAGCTTTTCTTACCTCAGTAAAAAGTTACTACATAAGACTTTGTAGTTATAATACACTTAGCAGGAATGAATCTAAAGCTTTTCTTACCTCAGTAAAAAGTTACTACATAAGACTTTGTAGTTATAATACACTTAGCAGGAATGAATCTAAAGCTTTCTTACCTCAGTAAAAAGTTATTAAAGTAAAATCTTATGTGTAGTTATAATACACTTAGCAGGAATGAATCTAAAGCTTTTCTTACCTCAGTAAAAAGTTACTACATAAGATTTTACTTTGTAGTTATAATACACTTAGCAGGAATGAATCTAAAGCTTTTCTTACCTCAGTAAAAGTTATTACATAAGATTTTACTTTGTGGTTATAATACACTTAGCAGGAATGAATCTAAAGCTTTTCTTACCTCAGTAAAAAGTTACTACATAAGATTTTACTTTGTAGTTATAATACACTTAGCAGGAATGAATCTAAAGCTTTTCTTACCTCAGTGTATCTTTCATGTAATTTTGAGTATTCTTTTTTCATGTCAGTTTCTTTTTCTTCTAATCTAGCCGCTATAAAAAAACATTACATATTAATAAAATACCTTATAAATATATAATAACATAATGGGTTGTTGTAATGGCCAGAAACATAAGATTTTTTGAACAGCCAGATCACATTCATTATACTTATCAAACACTCTGAGAGAGGACAGCTTTTCGAATGAAATTCTCATCTTTTACTTTTTTTTTAATAAGTAACATATCTTAACTTTAAGCAGTGGAATAATTTTTGGTGCTGCATATTCTGAATATGTTTTATATCATATGATACCATATAATATCAAGAACAGTTTACTGAATGAGAAAGCTTTTTTCTTTAGATAAATGTACCAATTTCTAAATTAAGATCAGGAAAATTTTATTATAACCTTGAGGAAAACCAAATACAGTAAGGAAAGTTAATGTAAGATTACTAGTGGTTTAAATACATACAATTAATACAAACAATAAAATGTTTTTGTTTACCTTATAAAATAATGTGCTTCAATTAAGATTTCATACATAATTTCTTTAAATGGGGCCATAAAGTTATTATCAATAAAAAAGCTCGTGCAAAGTGGCAACATCACATTTCTGTTGTATGTAATGACTTCAAATTTACAAGTGAAAAACTCTGGAAAAAATTTTTCCCACAAATTGTGCAAGTTTCTCATACAAAATTCCAAAACATCTTAATTTTCTGAATTAGGGGTAGTTTTTATAATTTTTTTAAGCCTAGAGCTGTTAAGAAAAAGGCCTTATTTAGGCTCATAATTATACTAAAACAAATTCATTAGAACTTGCATCATTCACCCCACACACGCACGCACACTCAAAAATGAACTGCAGAGTCAAAGTGTGTTACAGTGAACATTTAACTTACAAGCCAAAACAAACCAGTAGTAATACACAAGTTAAAAACATATCACAAAACAAATTAACACATACACTTACAGGATATCCTTAAAGTGACAAGTATATATTTACTGACAAATCTTTTTTTATTGAATCTAAAATACTTCACTAAAACATGCGACTTTTTGTTTGTGAAAGACTTGTAATGTTTACTAAAAGACTGCCAATTTTGTGAAGATATACATACTATATTAAAAGTTAGTACTATCAAATCTATAAAGACTTTAAACAAGTATAAAGAGGTCATGTGGTCGGCCAAATTGACCAAGCCCGTGTTGAGAGAGTTAAACCACTGATAAAAGTTAGATCACAGTTATATCTCATTACAAAATACATATAATTAGTTATAATTCATTTCTTGAAGTGTAGTTGAAACATAAATACTAGTATCCAAAACTATCTAATTCTCTTCTTTATGTTGTACATTATGGGAATTTCCCAGCAAGTGTTTGCAGACCCTATTTTGTGTTAAAACAGTTTTGGTTTTGAAGAAAGATTTAAATATTTTACAGTACAAGAAAGCACAACTGGGCAAATTCAACACTAATGTAACTAGTCCATTTATTTTTTAGCCTTTAGATACAGTATTCCATCTTAGATAAGACCAACCTATCTACAATGATTAAAAAGTTGCATCTGACAGGAAGTAGTTTTTCAAAGGATCAATAACCAGGTAACGAACGACCGAGCTCCAGCTGTGTGAGCTGCTATTCCCGGGGGTCGAACATAATGGTTAATATACTGTATAGGTAGTCAGATAACATAGCAAATTAGTATAATAATAGTTATGATAGATAACAGTTTTGTAAAGATAACTTTAAATTGTTTTGTGTCTTATGTAAAATAATTTGTTCATTGATCACATTTTTATTACATAAATATAAAATATTACAAACTAACATAAAAAATCATTCATCGTTTGTTTGCACATTTAATGGAGTCACTTTGAATGTTCACAAGTCTGGCAGTTATTATATCAGTGTTTCGTTATAAATTTTCAGTGCACAATTTTAATAGCAATTTAAAAATAATGTGCAATAAATGTCCAGAATTTTATATCAGAGAAACCGGAAGAAAATTGGAAACCAAATTCCCTCAACATAATAAAAAAAACATCCCATACTTGTGTTTACCATCATTGCAATTCAAAACATCCACAGTATATCTATAAAAAATGCTGTAATTTTAAACAAAGAACCAAACATCAGAAGCAACGTATCTTAACTCTTTCAGGACTGATCTTGTAACCATTTTGTGCTTGTTATACTTTATGCTATAAGTTTTAAATTAGTAAGTGAATGTTAACAAAATCTGGCAGATTATTAGTAAACATTACAATGCTTTCATATGCAAAATATCAATTTCTTTTATTAAGTTTTAAGGTTTACAAAGCAATGTTTATCTCATGTCTATTTTTTTCTTTTCACATGTTGCCTATCTATCATGCAAAGTCATATTCATTTTAAGATCAAAAATACTTTTATGCATTAGAAAATTTTGAAAAGCGAAATCTGTATAATGTCCAGATAGTTATAAAACATCTGTTATTTTCCATAATTAATCTTTGTACGGGTTCAGTAGATTTGACTGATCTTGCAACCACCATAAATAATTAGGAAATAGATATAAATTATGCCTCTTTCATTCTAGAATGAACACAAATTATAACACAAGAACATAAATGTTTAGAGTAAATAGCTTAAATCTGTACAAAGTGACCTGTCTTGGCTGTGTTTTAGTAGACTAGTATTTTGTAAAATACAGTCACATTTCAATTATTATACATTATATATGTATATATATTGCTATTTTGAAACAAGTTCTTAAACTTATTTTTTTTTGAAACATAGAACAGTAAATAAAGATGTGAAGCTAACAATTATCTCTTCTAGTTAAAACCTTTGTACTCGGTTGCTGCTTGATGTAGGTTACTAAGTCTTTAAAAAAATTGCATGCGGAGGATATGAAACAAAATATTTTTTTTTAGGTTTTATATATACGTTTGAATATATAAAAAATCATAAATTACTACATCAATATCATAGAATTCCACTATAATTTATCAAGCTTAGTAACTAAGCTGTATTTGGGTCTAAAAAAAAAGATAATTTCAAGCAGACTAAAGACACAACCTACCTCACTGAAATCTTGGTTTAAAAGAAAGAAATAGTGCTAGGTATGTTAGAAAGGCTTAGAAAACCACTAGGTGACATTCTGAGC